GTTTGTTACCAAATTGTTGTCTAACCATTTGTAAATTGCACCGTGGCTCTTCCGGTTTTGACTTTTGGATTGACCTGGGTGCTAAGTATTACTCAAGTTCCACGACCGATTTGTCGGTAACGCAGTCAGTCTGTGGAGAACGACAGAGACAAGTTAATGGCAGGCGATTGAGATCTGACTGACCTCCCTACGGTGGCCGCATTTCGAATGCAAGCCTTCTTAGAAAATTGAAACTATAACGGAGCGGTTGCAGTCTCTTGGAACAGTCTCCTGCTCCAACAGCTTCACTAGTACGTCATGCAACTTATCCACAGTAGTTTGTCCCCCGAATTTGTGGTGGGCTGGAGCAGCCCATCTGCTCCTGCGGACTTACTCAGTTTCAAATGTGTGATCTCGTGTTCGATTTCTGCGCGTGAAGGCGGATCCAAGGGAGTGCGGTAATCACTGGCCGATGAGGCTGATCAAATTGCTTTTCTATATTTTCGGCCCAGCGCTGTGAGTGTTTGATATACTGTGGTTTAGCTGTCCACTCTTATCGCATGTGGTCTTGCTAACGCCATGTCTGCTGCTGCCCGTTTCCCTTATCGGACTCAATAACTTATGATGTTTACTAAGGTCAGCAGCTATTTCCATCTCCGATGCATGGTTAGACTACCAGGGTTCGCGGTCTCTGTGCAGGCTAGCATGCGGTTTTGCCCCGAGGTCTGTGGGAGTCTCGTTGTGTTTGCTTCCAGCCAGAATATGTCGGCGAGCACCCAGAAGTTCCAGAGATTTTGCAGGAACCTCATGTCCAGACTGGCAATTGAATTTACGACATGAATACATGCCTGCTGCTAATGACCTCTGATCGATATGCTATCAGTGACTTTCAACCGTGTTTACTGAGCACTTATTCTACCCGCTTGCCAGCGTAGTTTGATACACATTCAGAACTCCCGTCTTCTCTAGTTGCCCGGTGTCCATGCGCTCACAGCGTCGTCGCGGGCTTCCGCCAAAACGAACTCAGAGGTCGGCACGTACAAATTTGTGGTCGGAGTCCACGCTCGTGCACCCAATTTAACGACAGTTTTGGACACAGCACCTCAACCGATCACGATGTGGTCAATTGGCGTCCATGACTGCTCCTTGGCTGATGGGCGCCACGTCACTCTTCTGCGAGTGACGTGCCCTAAATTAGTGTTCGCGACAATAGCCAAACCTGTTCACACGTGTGTAGCAACTACTCGCTATTATCACTAGGGAAGCCTACATTGTGTTACCTACCCAGACGCACCTCATCAGTGGACAGTTTTCCAACTTAAGTGTTCAGATCACCAACCAGTACCACAGCATCCGTACCTTTTTGTAACGATGGCGCGCGTTCGGTTGATGATAGAGGTCAGCTTTCATCTAGTCAGTGCTATAATTTGTGGAAGCGCAGGCAGCAGTGATAAACAGGCGCCTCTTGGTCACACGCGACTTTCAAGCCTTGGACGGCACACATCCAGCTGTTGATTGGCACGTAATCGAGCAGGTCAGCTTCAGTCCGGTGACTCCGAGAAATGCGCACACCGACTTGGCCGGTGTCATCTCCACACGGACACAATTAGAAAGTGCCTCCAGTATTACATCCGGGGGATTGCGAGGTTAGCACAGGGCTGAAGTCTTGCAAGTGAGTTTTCTAGAAACACTAGTTATCGATTTGTATGGTCTTTACTGTTCAGGCAAGAGCTGCCTGTTGCCCAATCTGTAACAAAGTGCGCATGTTAATGAATTTCAGTCTTGATGAGGACGGACGGCTTTGCCGGGTTAAATATGAACTTATCGGCTGGACCGGAGTGAGCGCTGCGATTGTGTGTGAGCTCAACGTAGTGGACAAGCGACTGTCGAAGCAAGCTCGGGAAGTCTATGAATTGGGGGAGGGATTGGAAATAGAAGAAAACAAAGTGGAGTTGGAAGGAGATGGTAGGGATGCAAAAGCGTAATGGGGGAATAAGAGGACCGGAAAGCTTAAGCAATAACATTCTCACCCCTATCCAACCTGCTTGGTGCAGCAGATAGGGCGCGGCTGATTGTCCTCTGCGACGGATATTGCTAACCAGTGTCTGATTTATTAATCGCTGTGGTTTGTCTCTATGTAAATAGTTGGGAATCGCGAAACCTCTTGTGTCCAGATTTATTTTTACATCTTACTAAACAATCCTTTGAACGGAGATGTTTTTCCAAACATATTTTACAATGTCCGTTTACGCAGTATTTCTAATATCTGTTGCTTAGAACCGCATAGGTTATTACTACTTTTCTGTCGTTCCTTTTCTACAATTTGCCCTTTATTCATTGTCATCTAAACTTCACCTAACCGATTTCCCCTGTAGAATGTTTTGTACGGGATCGTGGTAATTCAATGATTAAGGATTTCCATTCTTGACATTGCTTAGTGACTAAGGTTCATTTCAATAGGAATCACTTTCCACATTGACATTATGCGTCGCGATCCATTCACTCAACAAGTGCTTAAAAATGACCCATCCAATCCTCAGACGAATGCTATAATTCCATCAAACGGAACGCACCATTCTGCTTTTCGCACGTCTTAATTCTGTTTCACATGTTCTGTCTGTCTGTGCTTCTATGCCCCATTCTGCTTCACATCACCACAGCAACTTTTCGATGACCACTAACAAGGTCACTGTGGACAATTGTACGGAATCTCGCCCAGAGTCCGAAGTTTGTTAATAGAGATGCATGGGTTAACGATCCTAGTGACAGCTTCTTTTCTGAAATTATGCACTTACTGCCAAGCTCTTCTTCCGGAGGCTACAGCGGTCTTATGTTAATTAGTTCCACCCCTACTTAGGACCTGCTCTGTTTTCCATTCTGTGTTCATTTTCGGGCGACCGCTAAGTGCGTCTATCTTTTAGGCTTCACTGTTTTACACACGAGTGATTTCCAATCGAGCCACGTTTCAATCGGAACTTTGTGCTACTCCATGGTCTGTAAGTAGGGCTTCTGGGACAAAACACGATCCAGATAGCCTTGACTAATTCTTATTAAACTCGACACGTTGATTGCACTAACTTCAGACAAGAACACAGGTTTGCGAAAAGATTCTTTGCGACAGATATCTTCAGGCAAATGGAATGTTAGAGCACTAACCTCTGGTAAAACAAAAATAGGGATTCATGGCATCACGACAGTCGGTAACTCAAATGTCGATCGGTAACATCGTCGATCCCCTTAGGTGAGAGAGCATGTGTTGTTTGGTCGGTGGAATGCCATGCGCTGACAGTGATCGGATGATGCACTTGGCACTTCACCGACCAGCGAACACGTGCCCTGTCACCTGAGGGATCGACGACTTTACCGACCAAGACGTTTGAGTTACAAACTGTCATGATTCCATTATTCCCCTTTTATGCTTCATCAACTGTTTGTGCTTTAACATTCCATTTTATAATTGTAAATGCCTAGAGGTAACGTGCTTGTCACGTAATCTTGCGGCGCGGGTTCTAATCCGCCTTGGGGTGGACGTTCTCGCGGTATACTCAGCCCACGTCCGACTGGTGGTGGTCGCACGGCAGCAAAGCGCCGTTACGGCGTGCAGCTGACACATTATTATTATTATTATTATTATTATTATTATTATTATTATTATTATTGAACACCTTTCTCGAAAAGACTCCTCTTCGCAAATTTGAGTTGATGCATTGTCAAAGAGTCAACATCCTGTGAATTATTGTGATCACTCCAGTATTTTCACAATCATTCCCACGACCGCCGTTACGGTATTGATGGTTTGGTCGTTGTTCCGGAGGATTTCACCATCTTGTGCTTGGATGTGTTTGCCCGACGGATTGTCGCTCTTCCATAGGTCGCGCTAACGCCCCCCATATCACTTATCCTGGTGCAGACCATCGCGCTTTTTCTGCTTGGCTCGATGTGCAGCCATTCTTGATTGCAGCGTACACCACCGTGACGGATTGGTATGTTAATGGCATTTGATCAGTGAGTCAGCAACAGCACTAGATCGATGGCTTGGTTTTCTGCCAAGTGATCAAAATTCTTCTCCGAAATGTAGAGGTCACAACAGTCCTCATTCTTTGTAAATTCAGATGCAACTAGGTCACTAATCCACAACAACTAGCGACATTCCACCAGAAATTGTTTTTCATCCCTATCTGTCATCAGTAGTCAAATATTGTCACCTCAACAGTAGATGCTGTTTTCTCGCACCAACCGTTCAATAAAAGTTTATCTGTTTACTGCGATGCATTTACACTGTTGTCTGTTGTTGTCAGTATGACTAAGCAGGCAGTTACCTACGCTTCTAACCCGACTTGCCTAGTCCTGTGCCATGCAGCCGAGTCTAGACAACTTACCGGTTTTTTCAGTATCCATAGCAGCGCGTGCTTCTCCGTATTTCACAAATCGAATAGCGTGCCCACTTGTTGCATTTTCAAAGCACCGTCTTAAGAAGCACTTTCGGTGCATAACCAGATAAACCACTGAGTGTTTCATATCTTTCTGCTAATTCGCTTTGATGCTTAATCTCCAACTACGCACATCGCTGTTAGAATATGTCCAGTTAGTCGTTTCAAATCACACGAATATCCAAGTGGTGCATTTAGTGGGTTCACCTACTTTGACACATATTCGTGCCTAGCAAGTTGAGCAATTTTTTCTCGGTGAGGCTTGCGCACTATCGGGGTCTTCTCAAGTCCGTGATTTGAAAACGAACCCCTTCGTCTCTTTACGTTAGACAGGGTTATGTCTTGGTTTTATCTTTGAGTCGCTTGACACGAGTTTTTTTGTTTGTATTCTTTTGAAATAATCTATCGTTAGTCCTTTTGGAGTTCTTTTCCTTATTCAACCTCTTTTCGGAGTACCTTTGACACTTCTACGGCAATCGTTATCGGCGACTTTGGTGATACGTTATCGTTTGCTAGAACATAAAGTCACAGAATCATCGGGGTGATCCGCTGTCCATCTTTCTATTTTCCTCTTCCGTTTGCGTCCTACAGACGTCGGATTTGAGATACCGGCGGAGTTTGTGGTCGGCTACGCTCTCGATTACAACGAATATTTTCGCGATCTTCCGGTGAGTAAAACACGCGGTTTCCGAAATGTAGGGATAATCAATTTAGAAGATTTTATATCCAACTGTTCTGGTTTTTTCTAGTGAGATCACGTTTTTCGAGTCAGCTGTGCTTGTACAGAGTGAATTTGTCTCAGAACTAACATAGCTTGCATGTTCGTCTCGCACGTTCACAAGTTTGCGAGCATCCGTTTGGTTCACTATTGACTCTGCTAGACGACCATGTAATACACGCTGCGTGGGGATTAAAAGGAAGGTAGTTTTTTTGTAAAGCTGAGTTGCGTTCATTTGATTACGAATCTCTATTTACCTCCGTCATTTCCCTTCCGGTGGTTGTCACTGGCAGCTTATAGGATTGCTCTGATAACCCTTGTCTAGCGTATGAAGTGCAACATCCGAGTTTATCTGTTTTTTGAATCCACCCCCTTCATTTGATTGTCGATGCACCAGCCGTTTGCTCATCAGTCTCTTGTAACACGCATATGCTGGAACATACGCTTAATTCACTTTTCCTACTTGACCCTCCACTTCTATTACCCATGAAGTTCCTTGGTTCTAACACGTTAGGCGATAGGCCTTCCGCTCTGCACCACGTACTAGCCATAGCTCTATTTCTTCTCGTGTGCGACTACACAGATCACGCGTTCTCCCACGGGAGTCCTCAACATAGAGGCTCAGGTACCCATCGTGGTGTTTTATGGAGCTCGCTTTGTGAGGTGGTAATGTTTGGATATTTATGATTGGCGGCATCTGTCACTGCGGCCTCGATAGGACAGCCACAAGACACCTGCGTCTACAGACGGACCATGGATGGCTTGCGCTGCACGACCCACAGCTCTATCCACACACCCTATATTCGTGTAAACCCGAAGGAATAAGACCGGGTGGCATGTAGATGGCAGCTACATTCCATCAAGGGAGCCGGCCCACACTTCATCACAAACAAGTATAGGCACGCTGTATTTGGGAACCAAGTGCGCACAATTGAACAATGGTGTATTACGGGTAAAAAAACAATGCTTAACCAGTCCCGTGGGATGGAAATTATTGCGAAAAATAACGTGCATGATAAAGTGAAAGCCGTTTTGGTGGACTTACCATAGACTTACGTAGAATTGCAATGTTCGCGTGCTAAAAGTATAAATCTGTAAACCCATTGGTTGCGAGTTTAGTAAGACACCGTTTGATTGCGTTTTGTAGCCCCTGGCTAACAAGTCATAAAATGAAATGCAAATGAGACAAAGCATCGTCAGCTCGTTGTTTAAATATAGTTTGATTGGGATCAGAGACGACGTTATTAGGGAGGAAGTTCTAAAGTTGCCACCCGCGGAAAGAAAAGAAATTTCCACGGCATTCAAGCCGACTGTACTGTATCGTTACTTACAGAGAGTGACCTCTTAAGTTAGTGTTATAGTTCAATTTCGGCAGCGGGTGGCAAATGTGATTTGGGTTCTTCAGAATCTGGCAACCCATTATGAGATCTCCCTGCAAAAGCCGATATCGACTGCTGTACATCCTTAGAGATTGCAGTCTAAGCTGACGTTCATGGTTGCCCTTCGTTGAGGAGTCTCAAAAGCAACGAGATCCTGTATTTGTCACGCCTGGATAGCGTATTCCACGTGCGGTCACACGTAGGCGTTAAGCATTTGGGGAAAGATTGTGGGTTCAAACCGACCGAAGACTCTGGGAAGAAGGCCGAAGTGTTGATTGCCGGTTCTCGTCGCCTTCTCTGCTTGTTTTGAACACCCGGGATCTTCCTGTGTCAATACACCCAGGTCGCGCTCCTGAGAGACCTTCTCCAAGGTGTGGTCTCCAAGTTTGTAAGCGCTCATCGGCTGGTGACGCAGATGTATCACCTTGCACTTAGCTATGTTCAACTGAAGCAGGTTCCTCTTTGACCATTCATACATGCAATCTAGGTCATTTTGGAGTAGATTGTGATCTTCATTGTTACTAATCGCTCGCCATATCTTGATATCATCGGTGAAAAGCAGGAAATTTGACGAGATAACTCTTGCCATGTCGTTGATAAACACTAGGAATAAGCGCGGTCACAGCACTGAGACTTGTGGGACACCACATTCCATTTCAGTCGGGTTAGAGAGTGATTCTATAACGCGTACATGAAGCTTCCATTGGTGAAGAAAGTTGCCAATTCAACCAAATATAGGATCTCCGATGCCTTACCTCTGTTGCCGGTGAAGTAGGATGCGGTGATCCAAGTGCTCGAAAACTTCGGAGGATTCCAGCTAGATTACGTCAACTCCGACCTCATCATCAGCCCCTTCCGTCCAACTGCCTCATGCAATCATTAGATTGAGGGTGCATGACCGGTGTTGACGGAAGCCATACTGCTCCGGTACCAAGATGTTGCATTTTTCCAGGTAGTCCATTAAAGCCTCAGTGACGACCGCTTCTATCACTTTTGCGAGCACAGGGAGGAGAGTCACTAGGCGATAGTTTGCAGGCTCTGAACAGCTACCGTTCTTAAAAATCGGGCTGATAATGCCACGCTTCCACAAAATGGGGACTTGTTCATCAAAGTACCTTTGGAAGTACTGTGACAATGGTTCAGCTAGCTCGGTGGCCGCAGTCTTCAGTGCTTTCGGGCGCATGTTGACGGCCTCCGAAAAGTTATGATCGCACAGTGAGAGTACCTTCCTTAGAACAACTGATGGGTTGAATATTACCTTTGTAAACAATGGAGTCAGTAATGTGCATGACATTATAGGACAGGTAGAGGTTGCGAGTTCGAAAATTGCGGCGTATTGTAGCCGCAGCGCATTAGCTGCTTCTTCTTCGCTTTGTAGTCTACCGCTTGTCGTGAAAAGTGGAGAGCTGCCATGCTTTCCGAAGATTGTTGACATGCCTATACAGCAGTTTGTTGATTGCCAGGAATTTTTTGGCTAGGCACTGTTGATAAGTTACTTTGTTCTCACGGATAAGTGCAGTGCAATGGTTGCGATGATTCAGGAAATTGCCCCAAGTCTCTGAGTCGGGGTTACCTTTGTAGGCACTCCATGCTGCATCCCTTATCGCCAGGCATCTTTGAGGCCTGCTCCTTAGAATTGAAGGCATTTTTGTGGGAAGAAGGGGCTTGGTCTCTGATGCTTTGTTGACGATGTCGCCTAGTCTATCAACCAACTCTGTCCAAACCTTGTTAAGCGGACTTTTGTTTGAGAATTCCCAAGCAGCTGCGTCGGCGAGTTCTTTCAATACGTGATAGCGTGTGATTGTATGAGTTAGTTCCGAGTGTTCAGATGGATACTCTGCATAACACACATATTCAAAAGTTATTACTACATGGTCACTGAGACCTAATGGACTATCCATCAATAACTTGTCAACCATGCGTTTTTCATTCGTGAGCACAAGGTCCAATATAGACGGTTTGTTTGCTGTCCTGAATCTAGTAGGCCTGGTGACATGATTGTACACAGGAATATTATCGATCAGTTCATACAAGTATGCTTTGAACTGTTCACTGGATGATGCGGATACCAGATTGTGTAGATTGAAGTCCCCGGAGATGAGCATCTGGCTGTACATAGTGCGTGTTACTCTGTTCAGGACACGTATCATGCGGGAATCCATTTCCGGAAGGGACATTGGGGGGCGGTAAACGACAGCTGGGAGACATGCGTAATTGTGTCTTAGTTGGAGACGGCAACAGAGTGAGTCGGTAACGTGTGTTTCAAGATAATTAACCGTTGTACATTGCAGGTCGCTGCGGTAGGAGAGTGGGACCCCACCTCCTCTACTGGGGCGGACGTTCCGGATGTGTGACATTCCAGCTACTCGATCTCAGCATCAGTCACCTCTTGGTGTAAGCAAGTTTCGTTAATAGAAATTAGGTCCCAAGCGTTCGCCGAAGCTCAGTAAGTTTACTGAGGAGGCATTGGGTTCTAGTGAACATACAAGAAAGTTTCTCAGATTTAAGCAATGTTTCGGAGGTTGTGCAACTCATACGTGAAGTTTCGCAGCCCAGTGAGTGGCCGGCGACCAATCGTTTTTTCGGTGTGTACTTGGAGAAAGGTTTACTGTCCGATTCAGCGTCCACATAGTTAGTCCCGTCTCGACTCTTCTACCTACAGTGTAAGCTGTCTAGTTATATGGGCTCATTAGTCACACTACTGATGCATTGTTCTTTTATAGATCCCATGGCGTTTGCTACCTTGAGTAACATATCATCTCTAGGAAGCATATCGCTGATTATGTTCAGCCGAAGCTCAGATGGTAGCCTGCAATGGAACATGTGCCAGCTTTTTAGCAGCCGTGCTACCATATGTTTTGACTGTAGAACCACCTACAACACTCTCGGGCCACTTGCCTTGTAGTTCGGTGAGGTACGCAGCCGTGACACGGATTTCGCTAACACATCATCCAAGCAAAGTGTTTCACGAATATAACACCACTGTTCTTTATCATGGGTTATTATTTCATGCTCATCACATGTTTCAGTTTCAGGAACCCCGTGAAGAAGTATGGTTCTGGTTGAAGTTTCCTTCCGGTAGTCCTCTAAGGTGCGATTAACTCGATAACGCTCGCCCCATGGGCTGTCTGGAATGATACGGAGCAGTGTTCATTTCTGAGACTGCCTGTCGACAGTAGTACTGATTCTACTTCAGTGATTGAGTTCAGAACCACGCGCAGAAGTCTTGGCTCACCGAAATGCTTAAGGTTGGGGAGTCGCGTAATACACACTACGTGTACAAGTTATAGTGCAACTCCGATTAGGTTACTAATAATGTCCCACTGGTTGTGGTCATCCAACTGTCTGCCTTTTATTGGTGTCAACTTTGATTCTGGGATATTGGGGCACATTACGCTCGATACAGGTAGTTATTTCTTTGCACCTTCCGACATATCGCGGTTAATGATTGAGGTACTCGGAGATGTACCGCATGAAACCGGTGGTGTTTGCACTAGGAAAACTCCTCTACGCTCCTCAGTTTCCGATCCAATTGGAGATGCTGTTAATTTTAAATGACGGATCTTCTTGG